GTTTGGTGGTCTGTTTCACAATATATATTTTAAAACAATTACCATGGTAAATTTTATGTTATGTGTATTTTACCACAATTAAAAAAGAAAGCTAGACTTATCCTGGATTTCTCAGAGCAATGTGGCTATATCATGTATGGCAGGCCACCAGCGACTCACTCCAGATAGGAAACTTTCTATTTTCTTTTTTAGTATATACCACGTACAAAGGATCTACAAATACATTACTCTAAAACATCTCTACCCACTATAGTTTAAGGTTACAATGGAAGAAAAATGAGTTACATCAGATATTGAGCAAGTAGTCTTAGCTAAATGTTTTCAGACATTTAAAATGAGCTTAGTTTAATTTCAACACAATCACTTCTTAGTTTCCTCTATTTTATTTTCAAAATATATTACTTTTCAGCCTATGAGTTTTATTCATTCATTCATTCAATGGTATTTTTTGAGTACCTACTGTTTGTCAGGTACTTGGGATACAGTAATGAGCAAACACGAAAAACCTTAACTGTCATGGAGTTTAAAGCTGGAGAAAGACAACAAACAAATACTAAATAAAATATAATGACAGTCATAGGTGTTAAGGAAAACAAAATAAATAAAGTAAGAATAGGGGACATAAGTTTTGGAGTAGGAGGGTTGAAATTTTAGTTAAGGTACCGAGGGAAAAGTGATGGCTAACATCTTTGTAAAGATGTAAAGAAAGTGAAGGAGTTAGCCATTTGGATATGAAGTGAAAGAGAATTATAGAAGGAACAGCAAGTGAAATGTCTCTAATGCAGAATGTGTAAAGTGTGTTTGAGGCTCAAAGAGATCATTGTGAACGATTAAGACAACAAGCAGATGAAATTAGGTAACAGGAGGTCAGATTATGCAGGTACTGCTAGATCACATTATGGACTTTGTTATTATAGGTGGGACGAGAAGCCACTTAAAGGCTCTGAGCAGAAGAATGACAATCTGACATATTTCAACAGGTCCACTCTGGCTGCTGTCATTGAGAAAAGACTCAAAGTAAGCAGACGTACAAACAGGGAAATCAGGCTATTGCTGGAATTCAGGCAGAGTCTGTAATAGCTTGGTCCAGGGTGATGGATGTAGGCAGGGGAAAGAGTGATCAAATTCTGGATATAGTCTGAAAATAGGGCCAAACGGAATTTACCGATAGGCTGAATATTGGGCATGACAGGAGTCAAGGTTTTTGGCTTTAGCAACTGAAAAAAGGGATTTGCTATTATCTCAGATAGGACCACAGGTGTTGAGTTTTGGACATGTTGCATTTGAGATGCCTGAATTTATTAACTGAAAATAATTTCTTAACTTGCATCCTGCATATTCCTTGTCATTGAATTCTTAAGTTTTTTTCTTTTTTAGCAAAAAGATTATCATATTATTTTAAGCTTTTATCACTTAGAAATGTAATGACTGCAAATTTTAATGTGACTAAAAGATGGGAACAAATAAGCAAAACTAAAACCCAATCACCTTTGGCAAAATACAGTTCAGTGGCATTTAGCAATGCAACAAATGTGGAAACCCAAAAAAAGATTGTAACATCTACTCTTTAAATGACTGCTATAGTAAAATGAGGGCTTTTGTTTAACTTTGTGTTGGTTGGTAGACAGGAAATTTTATAGAAAGGTCTGGGGACAATTTGCATTTAAAACTTACTTTCAGAAAATAAAATCATAAGGGGCGCCTGGGTGGCACAGTCGGTTAAGCGTCCGACTTCAGCCAGGTCACGATCTCGCGGTCCGTGAGTTCGAGCCCCGTGTCAGGCTCTGGGCTGATGGCTCGGAGCCTGGAGCCTGTTTCCGATTCTGTGTCTCCCTCTCTCTCTGCCCCTCCCCCGTTCATGCTCTGTCTCTCTCTGTCCCCAAAATAAATAAACGTTGGAAAAAAAAATTAAAAAAAAAAAAGAAAATAAAATCATAAAAGCTGAAAGTATTTTAAATGTTACTTTTATAAAATGTAATATTTAGTTAAGTATCTGTCATGTATGTGGGACAACTCAGGGTTGGAAAAAACGTAATTTTCCAGTAACAAAACCAAAACCAGCATCTCTAAAAATATAAGAATGACTGACATGCCCTTCAGTCCATTTTCCACTCTTAAAAATTCAGACTTAGTCTTACTCAATAGCTTAAAGTTACTCAATGGTTTCTCACTGCCCAGAAGATTGGAAATAACAAGACCCTTCATGAGCCAACAACCTCCTTTTCCTCCCAACTTGGTTTGTTTGTTTGTCTGTTTGTTTGTTTGAGAGAGAGAACACAAGCAGGGGAGGGGCATAGAGAGGAGGTACAGAATTTGAAGCAGGCTTCAGGCTCTGGGGCTTGAACCCATGAACCAGGAGATCATGACCTGAGCCAAAGTTGGATGCTTAACCGGCTGAGCCACCCAGTCATCCCCCAACTTGGTTTTTTAATCACCTCACCCTATACATCTTTTCCCAAATGTGTTCTAAGGGATAAAAAATTCAAGACTCATCACAGAAAAAGGGCCCCATGGTCAAATTCAGCTTGCAAATTACTGCCAAATACACTTCTTTCTTAGAGACTCAGAATTAGTCTATTATGTGCATGATGAAATGCAGCTTTCCCCAAACTTATTTAACCACAGAACCATTTGGTTTAACACCTGTTAACATGCCTAGGACCATATTTCAAAAAAGCTCCCCCAGGCTTACTGATGATTGCAAAGCTTTGTTCCATGCCTTTGCATATGCTCCCCCTGCCAGGATGGCTACGTCACTCTAGTCTGCTTGGTAAAAGCCTTTTTCAAGTCTCAAATATCTCCTAATATTTAAGGGCATGCCCTACATTACCTCTTGGCCCCTCCCTGCTGTCAGGAAACATCTATCACTTTTTCCTTCTCCACAGCACTGTTACTAAATTTAGTATGTTATACTACAATTACTTGTTTTGTCTCCCATGATGGTAGAAACTATGCTCTATGTTCATGTGTGGTGCTCAATGTTTGTTGAAAGAATTAACTGCAAACAGGCTTTTAAAAAATTATTCTCTACTTATTCAAAGTTTCCTATTGTACCCAATACTCTACTCAAAGGCTCTGTACCCAGAGTCTTTCTAAACAGCAACCAAGAGCACCACAGACATTCAAAGGTCTATTTACGAGCACCTCAAGTCAGTAGAATTTTTAAACTCTGAAACTTAGTAAAATCCCAAAATGACATTAAAAAAAAAAATCCATTACTGCCTTTCTTGAGCCCCTAAGTCACTTGAGTCAAGACTATTACAATCCATTGTTATACCGTCATTTATCTATTATCCATCATTCTGACTAGATAGTGAGCAACTCCACGGAAATGTAGATTCATCCACAAAGACTGCTACAAAGTTATTGAATGAAGAGAACATTCTTTCTGGCTCAATAAAAAGTTCCAAAAGGCCTCTACTAAGCCAGAGTTAAGACCTAATGGTGGTACAACAGAAAAAGGACTAGATGGTAATTACACAATTAAAATTTCTGACTTGCAACTTGTGATCCTGTGTTACTTTCAGTTCCCCATCCATAAATTGAGAATACCTACCCTAACTTTTAACTTGTGAAGATCCAAGGAGATCTTATCCAGTCAAAATGCCAATACATATTATGATATTAATGGTAAGAAGCGGTTAAATTTACTTCCTGCACTGAGGCAAACTGAAGCATAATGAATACATTTTTCAACGATCTTAGCATGTATGCTCCAGTATCTAGTCCTAAACTTTCATTAATAAGGTTTTACACAAAGCCTCAACAAATCCAAAAAAAAGAAAAAAGTCACAAGGCTCTGTGATTAAGATGAACTCCAAATGTATTCATCTACTCCCATGGAGGACAGCTTTCTGTAGCTTAACTATTAGAACCAAAGAGCAAGTTCTGTGCACGGGACAATGGTTATTTTTTTATTTTTTACAGGAAGAAATCTTGATATAATTACCATCCCATTTTCTTTTTTTTTTTTTTTAAATTTTTTTTTCAACGTTTATTTATTTTTGGGACAGAGAGAGACAGAGCATGAACGGGGGAGGGGCAGAGAGAGAGGGAGACACAGAATCGGAAACAGGCTCCAGGCTCTGAGCCATCAGCCCAGAGCCCGACGCGGGGCTCGAACTCACGGACCGCGAGATCGTGACCTGGCTGAAGTCGGACGCTCAACCGACTGCGCCACCCAGGCGCCCCAGCCATCCCATTTTCAATAAATTAAAGTACATCAATGTAACAAATATGTTCCAAGACATAGATTTGATTTCAAATACCACAGGCTCTGGTTCACACACCGTTCACCTATTGGCCAAAAACCCTGAAATATGATCCAACGGCAGATCCGCCCGCAGGGTAGATAATTCAGCTTTCACTGATCGAGGTTTATGTTCATCAGATTAATTGTTCACGATAGGGTACACCCTAAAAGAATGGTCCCCATTATTCCTGGACTCCTTCATCTTGCCTTTACCAACAGGGCTTTCAGACATTGAAAAGCCCAGGGAGTATCTCCAAGCATTACCTCTTCCGAGAGGAACTGCTCAAATGATTTGTATTACTAAACATGTTTCTTGTACATTCTGTAGACAGCTCTCAAGCCACTCTTTGAAAACACGAAAACAGGATTTTCGATAACCTAACAAAAGCAAGAGCTACTTGATGGGAGACACTTTGTCACCTAAGCAAGTGATAACTGAGACACCGTCTGGGAGTCCGAGTAACTTTGAAGACAGCCCCTCTGGGGGATGGCACACACTTTCTCTCGGCAGTCATTCCTGCTTCCCAGAATACCTCAACGGTAGGGAGAACAGGGCCCACCCTTTTCCAGAAGCAGCAGGTAAAAAAGAAATCCGAGGAGCGCACAAAGGGTTTGGGAGTGGAAGCCCCAGCACGAGAATGGTCCGCCGAACCAGGTATTCCCTGAGACCAACTTGGATTCCTCTAGGGCGCCTCAGGTTTCTCAGAGAGCAAGCCCCGGAAGGGACACCGTGGGAGGTGAGTCTAACCTGAGAGGCAGCGGGCGGTTGCTACGGCGGGAACCAGCTTAGCTGCTGACAGCAACCAAGACATGACGGTCTCGCACACGCGGCAGGAAGGATAAAAGGAAAACAGCCAGAGAAGCAACGGGCCGCCGAGCCGTGTCGCCAGGAAACCAAGCCAAACACCCCTCCCCTTCCGGCCGGCGCCGCTCGCGGGGCTTTCCTTCCCCCCCAGCGGCGCTGAATGATGACGTCACGCCTCAGCGCTATGATTGCCTTCCTGACAGAGAGCCCATTTGGCGTCAGGTCGTCGTGCTCCATTAAATGCCCGTACGCATAGGATGTCCGATTCTAAATGACTACCAGCAGGGGTTGATATTTCTCGTCTTCTTAAAAGCACCATGTGGGGGGATTGATGCACCCAGAGAACTGGGTCAGCATTTAGAATATATGAATGCGGGCGTACAGGCAGGCAACAGCCTGAACAGCCACACTTCTAGAAGGTTCTAGGCAGTGCGCAGGAGCAGAGGTGGAGGGAGTAGGAATGAACAGGCGAAGGACCCGGGGTCACGAGACCGTTGGGTAGGAGGAGCCAGCGGCCGGGGAGGTTCTAGTCTGTTCTGTCTCGCGGCAGCCGCCCCCTTCCCCACGGTGACGCTGGGCTAGTACCTGCGCCTGGAATCGGGCCGCAACCTTAGCTGCGTCCGCCGCCCGCCGTCGCTTCTGGACCATGGACCCCCGCAAAGTGAGCGAGCTTCGGGCCTTCGTGAAAATGTGTAAGCAGGATCCGAGCGTTCTGCACACCGAGGAAATGCGCTTCCTGCGGGAGTGGGTGGAGAGGTGAGACCTGGGCCGAGGACCGTTGGGGGTGGGAAGAGGGACGGCCGGAGGGGGAGCTGGGCCGCAGCTGGCGCGGGGAGGACGAGCGGGGAGCTCTGCCGCGAGGCCTGCTGAGTTGCCTCCTCTTTGTGGCTCTCCCTGGCCAGGAAAGGAAGGCGACTTCAGGGGCTAATGGAGGACCGGGAAGCGTAGATAGTACAGAGGCGGGGACGGGAGGGGGGGTGGGGTGGGCACAGCTGGGTCCCCTCACCCTGAGGTCGTCCGGGGTGTGTCTTGATCCAAATATAAATGCAGACGATTGCAGGGACTTGGGACACTGTAGACGTGGTGGTGGGGAAAGGGAGCTGCAAGATTTCTCTTTCGCGTAGAGTTTTCTTGAAATCTCGGGCGTCCTGTTTAAAAGGTCTCAGTGACACATGGCTATTTTACGCACTACGTCTTTAAATAGTGTTGTAAAAATGATAACTTGTTATATAATGAGTTGTAATAAAAATGGTAACACTGTTTGGCTACCTTTAAATTTACAGCGATTCTAACTGCGTAGAATTATTTTGGGAATCACTTACTGTATCTCCGTAGTAGCAGTGCCATCACACTTAACACTTGAAAAATGATTTTTCAAGGACCAGCATGTAGCCATGATCTATTCTTGTTATTCTTAAATCTGGAGTACTTCGCTACGTGCGCGGAATTGAGTAGGCGTTGTGCCAGATGCTTGGAAACAGTATAATAAATGCGGAAATTTGTCGTAATATTTACCATATAATAGAGATTAATATTTTGCATATTGGAGGGGAACTTAAGGGAGAAAGGGAAATCTTCCCCGAGATGATTTTTAAAAATCGCTATTAGTGGTGAGGAATTTAAAAGATGAAACACAGGCACAAATCGCACCTCATGGTGATAATAGCGACAGTGCAAGGCAACGTGACTCAGAGGTACTACTCTGAACATTGATCTTTTCATAGGGGAGGAGGAACACACGATTACCAAATACTTGAAAGAATGTTTTTTTCAACAAACTCTTATAAGGAAGAAGCTTAAGTTAAAGTTTGTCAGCGGTGTATATAGTGGTACAATTTTTTTTTTCTCTGAGAAGCTTCTCAGTCTTTTACTTCTCCAGTTTTTGAACTACTGTAAGATTTTGCTCATGCTATTAGTGTAAGATTCCGAGAACACTTACTGTAGTAACGTAACTATTATTGACAATAGCTAACAAGAATACCGTTTTGTAACAGAAAAACCTACAAGATGCTAATTTCAGGACTAGGAATTTAGGCCTAGATTTTGGTCCTTTCTTCTTACTAAGTTGACAATTTCAGTGTCTCACTTGACACGTGAGTATGCTTTTATTCTCTTATATTTATTTATTTAAAAAAAATTTTTTTTCAACGTTTATTTATTTTTGGGACAGAGAGAGACAGAGCATGAACGGGGGAGGGGCAGAGAGAGGGAGACACAGAATCGGAAACAGGCTCCAGGCTCCGAGCCATCAGCCCATAGCCCGACGCGGGGCTCGAACTCACGGACCGCGAGATCGTGACCTGGCTGAAGTCGGACGCTTAACCGACTGCGCCACCCAGGCGCCCCTATTCTCTTATATTTAGTCATTAAAGGAAAGAGCCTACAATTAAGTTGTTTCTAAAATTCCAGGTAAAGCAGGCATATATACCACAGGGAAGTTTAATACTTGGCATCAAGAGTGAACATTATACTGAGTGTATACAATGTTTTGTTCCACTGCTCAAGAGGAAAAAGGGAGCTGTGAAGAAAAGGTTAAAACGTCCCTAAAAACAATGTAACTTGTGCTGGAGTGATTATGGCTGTGTAGAGAATTCTAGTTTAAGGTCTGGAAAATATTGTCAGACATTATTTCCAGAAAATACTTAATGTATCTTTTTTTTTTTTTTTTTTTTTTTTAACATTTCACATTGGTAATTCCAGGATTTCTTTCCTGGTTCCATTTATACTTTTTTTTTTTTTTCCCATTTATACTTTTCATGTGGCATCCTAAATTTTTGGTTTCATTATGGGATGAGGCATCTTGGCACGTGTAGGGGCCCTATTCTGAAGCTTTTGTTATCTCTTTATTTTAATCTAAATTAAAATTTTTGTAGGCTTTGAGGCCTTTGCTTGAAGTATATCAATTTCTCTCTGACTTCACGTCATCCTTCTTAAGTGCAGGATTATAGAAGATTGGGCTGAATGTGGAGATTTCTGGGCCCAGGAATATTCCTAAGCCTAATCCTACTTTTAGAGCTCCCCAAGTTGCAACCATTTCAGAGTTCTCTCTTCATACTAGATTAGTTGTAGGTACCCTGGCTTAGACATTAAAGAACAATTTATTTAGTCTATTTGCTTATTTGCCAGAATTTCTACCATTGTTTATAGCTTAAAATTTTATTTGGTGTTAAAAATTTATTTAACAGCCTTTTCTTTTTTTTTCCTTTTAAAAAATGTTTATTTTTGAGAGAGAGAGAGAGAGGGACAGTGCAAGCAGGGGAGGGACAGAGAGGGAGACACAGAATCCGAAGCACGCTCCAGGCTCTGAGCTGTCAGCACAGAGCCCTATGCAGGGTCGAACTCATGAGCAGTGATCTCATGACCTGAGCTGACCTCAACCGACTGAGCCATCCAGATGCCCCAACAAGAGCTTTTTCAATGGGACGAAGGGAAATACGAAGCAGAAATTTTTTTGTCTTATTAGTCATTGAAGATCCTGGGAGACTATGATCTTTTCAACAAATATGTTTTGGGATTTTTTTTAGAGGAAGCAGCATTGTTTGACACTGTTTTATTATTTCATTCTATGGTGATTTAAGATCAAAGGGAGTATCTTTGTATTCTAATCTCCAGCACAGTGTTTGGCATATGGCTTTTCAGTAAATATATTAAATGAACAGGTTGCATTTCTGTCTCAATGAGTTTAGAATGTAACACCCAGTGTTTTTGTACAGGTGCCTAAGTAACTATTGCTTAAAGCAATTGGTATGTATCAAATGAAGGGAATTATGAATGAGGTCTTGTGTGATTCTGTATGAGGAAGGTCTCTGCACTAGCTCTAGTTGGCAACATAAAAGACTATACTGGCAAAGTCCAGTTTGCACTGTTGGGCAGGGAACTAGCTTGTTTTAAATCTTGGAAGCATTAAATGAAATTTCTGTATATATAAATTGGTGTTAATCTTCTGACAAGTAACTAGAATTCAGAATGTGAGAAACTGTATGTAGCTTGTGAATAAACCTTGTGTTCCCTCCCCTCCAGTTTTAAAAATAAAAAAATAAAATTTTTGAAACTTGCAGGAAAATCGCAAGTACGATACAAACAATATGTCTCCTGAAACTATTCCCAGTGTTGTGCCCCCAGCACCTTTGTGTATTTCCCACAAACAAGGACAGTCTGTACAATGTAATCATCAAACTTGGGAAACTAAGAATCCTGCATTAATGCTATCAAATCCTCAGAATTATATGTTGTACTTTATTGTTTATGACTCCTAATATCTATTCTGAAAGAATTCTTCAGTCATTTCTTGACTTTCATGACCTTGGCAGTTTTGCATATTACAGACCAATTATTTTGGATAATTTCCCTCAATTTGGGTTTGTCTCATCTTTCCTGAGGATTAGATTTAGCTTAACGCATTTCTTGGCAAGACTGGCCCTTCCCCAAATTTTAATGTAGGTTAGACTGTTACGGCTGCGTTTGAATGTGTACCTCAGTACATTCCTGAATGTTGCATTTCGAAACTTAGGGAAAAAACATGGCCTTAAGAGAGGCCATGTGTCTTCATTAAAATTTAACTGCAAAGAACTGTCATTTGATTACTGTGCTCTTTTGAAAAGTAGTTTCTCTGTAGATTAGAATTTTAAAGAATTTTGTTGTGAAAGGTACTAAGTGAAGATTTTTTTGTAACTTATATGGAACAGAATGGGAAAAGTGTGCACATTTCTCTTGATTGGTGCTTAACAAGAAATTCCAGACTTTGTTATTGCATTTGCTATTTTGTTTTGTTGTTGTTGTTTGCTTATTTTGAGAGAGAGATTGAGAGCATACAAGCGGGGTAGGGGCAGAGAGAGTGGGAAAGAGAGAATCCCAAGCAGGCTCTGTACTGTCAGCGCAGAGCCTGTTGAAGGGTTTGAACTCACAGAACCCTGAGATTGTGACCTGAGCTGAAGTCAAGAGTTAGATGCTTAACAAACTGTGCCATCCAGGTGCCCCTGCATTTACTGTTTTAGATTTCTAGGTTTGTTTCTTGTTGGCTCCAGTGTAAGTGAAAAGACAAGCCACAGGTGAGAGAAGCTATTTGCAGCACATAAAACTGACAGAGGGCTTGTATGCAGAGTATACAAACACCTACAGATAAATGTGACAATCTAATAGCTGGAGGAGAGTTGAATTTTACAAAAAAGGCTATGCAGGTGGCTGATAAATAAGTGAAAAGAGACTCAACTACAATGGGATACCACTGTACATCTATCAAAATGACTAAAAATTTAAGACGGACAATAGCTAAGTGTTGGCCAAGTTGTGGAACAACTGGAATTCTTAGGCACCGCTGATAGAAGTATAAATTGGTAGAACTTTGGGGAACCAGTATCCATTTAAATCCAGCATACACATACCCTATGTCCAGAAATTCCACCCACCTGAAATGAATGTAAACATGGATATAGAACTCCAGTTATAAAGAATCAATCCTTAAGGGTGTTCTGAAGTAGATTCCTTTTTGTTTTCCAAGTTAATATATCTCCTATTTTACATGAAAGTTAATCTTTTTTCAAGGCAAATTTTTAGTTAAGTCTTCGTGATCTCCAGCTTTCACTATCCTGGAGGCCCTTAATCCATTTAACATTTTAGTCACTGGACTGCTTCCTGGGGCCCATATGCTTCAGAGTCTGCCCCAAATGGAGCATATAGCACTAATTCTTCATAATCTTTTTTTCCTCCTTGTATTAAAGTTATTTGTGTATGATTCATGGTGTTGCCTTGGAATGTTTGGAAAAGAAGGACTTGCAAGGCCAAGGGGAAGTATTAATCGGTGGATTGTGGGAAGGGATAAGGAGAAAATTTATACTGTGAGGGGCATTTGAATATAAGCAGAAAGAATCCTTGTAGGTCCCAGTCAGAGGAAACATTTTGAATTATACTGTGATTTCATAATCATTTCATAAACTGCTTATTTGAATTTAAGTGAGCTCTTACTAAAGTTGAAGTTTTGGATTCAGTATACCTGTACAAATGATTTTGTCATTAACGTGTTTTCTGCCTCTTTTCTTCTGGGAATGGGCACAGACCAGCTATGTAATTATGTTTTTATTAGGCTAAGTGAGGCGAAGAAAGGGTTAGATTTTCATTAACTAGTTTGCTAAATCGGGGCACCTGGGTGGCTCAGTCGGTTAAGCGTCCGACTGGCTCAGGTCATGATCTCATGGTTCGTGGGTTCAGGCCCCTCATTGGGCTCTGTGCTGACAGCTCGGAGCCTGGAGCCTGCTTCTGATTCTGTGTCCCCCTCTCTCCCTGCTCATGCTGTCTCTCTCTGTCTCTCAAAAATAAATTAATATAAAAAAGTTTAAAAAAAACAGTTTGCTAAATAAATAAAATTTTAAGATGAAAAAATACTGAAGCATTCAAATTAATTGAGTTTACTCTTAAAGGTTTGAGATAATCATCTGTGTCTTTTCTTTCCAGCATAAATAATGTTGCTTGGCTCAGTGAATTTTAGTTTTCTAAACAAGTATCTTTTTTCTCATCTTTCTCAAGCATGGGGGGTAAAATACCACCTGCTACTCATAAAACTAAATCAGAAGACAATATCAAGGTAAGTTATGAATTTCATTTGTATGTTTAGCAATAAAATTGTATATGAAGTATCTTACAGGTGTTTTTAAAGTGCTGCTCTCAAATTACCACTCCTGGTTTCTTTAGGATCTCTTGGAGATAAGATCTTTGTAAAATTTCTATTCGGACATCAAGTGTCTGGCATCTGATTTAACACCAGGGTTGAACGTTCACCACGTTTGGGAGTAAATGTTCTGTGTGTGTTATATGCATGACCTGTGGGTGGTAAGCTCTGTGATTGTATGCATTTTGTAGTCTTCATCGTCATTCTATGGTTAGCACCTAGCACAGGGTTTTGTGTATTGTGGGTACTTAATTAATACTTGCAAAGTAAATGAAAAATAGCCCAAATCAGTAGTTCTTAAGTTTTTCTGCCATACCATCTCAGGGATATTTCTAAGTTATGAGTCATGATGTTGCTTTAACATATTTGCCAAAAAGGTGAGTAAGATCAGGAGGAGTTTGGCAGTAGCTGAAATTTAGTGATGGGGGTGGGTATACTCTTAAGAATGCTTCCTTCAGAATTCTTATTTCTCCTATTTTGGGCTTTTATGTCTAAAATCCCCAAGTTTACTGATTAGAAGTTGATAAGAAAATTTATTTTATTATTTAGAACCTTAAGGTTTATCTATTTAGATATGAAATCAGAAGTTCTGTCTTTGAGCAAGTGATATAAGAGAACTTCAGCAAAAGCCTTCAAAGTAGTTATTCTTTTTTTAGAGGAATCATTTGTGAGTTTAGTAGTTTCTGATAGGATACTTTTGGTAGGATACCGAAATAGGATATTTTACCATGTGGTAAACGTGTATGAAGACAAAATTATATTTAATCTATTTTTGCTAAAATATTTTTGTAACAAAATATTCTGATTTGGAATTCTACCTGGTCTTATTCAGCATATATGCTAAAGCATCTGACACCTTGCATATGGTATTCTCAACATATATTTTGTAATAAGGTAGGGCTTTGATTCCAATTTTTAAGAATTACAAAGAGAAACCTAAATAACTGGTTATGTAATTTTACTAATACAATTGTATGAATAGACCGGGGTGTGCTGATTGTGATCTATTGCCTACGATACACAGCATCATTAAATGGAAAGGTCAAAGTGCAGAGCTGTCTTATATATATGCATTGAGAATATCTAATGGGATATGCCAGAAATCACAGCGGTTACTTACAGAATGGGAAAGAAATTTGGTTTTCGTCATGTGCACTTTGAAATTCTTTGAATTCTCATCATTTGTGTATTATAGTTCCATTGCTCCTTATTTGAAATTCCAAACTCAAAAACCCTTGAAATTGTGAAGATTTTTAGTAAGTTTGTTTGGCAGTAAAGCATAATCTAAACAGATGTGAGGCTATTTATAGTCTTTATCCCACTTATTATGAATGCTCAGACTTTCTTTTGCAGAAGTAATGTGTTGATTATGGAGAGTTGTAGACCACAGTGCCTGTTGAGGGTGTAACATAACTGTGGGATATGCATTTGTATTAGCTTCTATAACGCAATATTTTTTAAATTCTGAAACTCGTCTAGAATGTTTGGATGAAGGATTGGACCTATATTTGATTTAAAAAAAAATGAAAACAGAACTAAAGTTTACCAAAACAGAACAAGAAAGGGAGCATTAACAACTGAAATACAATGGATGTGAACAGTTTACATATAAGTTTTTATAAATTAGTGTGTATATATTGGGTGTGTTATTAAATACTGAAAGCGTTGTTTGCCTTCCCTTTGCTAGGAAGAAAAAACAGATAGTAAGAAGGCGGAGGAAAACATAAAGACAGACGAACCATCAAGTGAGGAAAGTGATCTAGGTGAGGAGGTAGTAGTTAGTTTGTATTTGATAACCTCATGATAAGATCCGGTGCTGATTTTTACTAAATGGACTAAATCAGGGCTATCTAATAGAAATGTAATGTAGCTGAGCTACATATGAAATGCAATTTCTAGTAGCCATTTTAAAAAAATTAAAAAGTAAACAGATGAAATTAATTCAAATAAATGTATCTAAACTAACAAACCTAAAATGTTAGCATTTCAACATGTAATCAATATGGAGAAATTATTAGTGAAATATTTTCCTGTTTATCATATGACGTCTCGAAATCCAGAGTGTATTTTTATCTTTACAGCACATTTCAATGCAGATATTAGGGGTTATATTTTTCTTGGAAATATTTGATCTATATTCAAATTTAATGAAATTTGTGGTTGAAAAAGTTGGGAAACATACCCAAGTTTTAAATATATGTAAAAGTTTTTTCCCTTTTTTTTTTTTTTTTTTTTTT